TCCAAGATCCCTTTCTGCCTCCGTGCTCTCAAGAAGGGAGTTTCCCATCTTATAAGTGTGCTGCTGGTTACTACTGCCCAAGTGCAGCACCCTGCACTTGTCCGTATTGAAACGCATCCTGTTTTTGTTAGCCCACCCTTGCAATCTATCCAGGTCTTGCTGCAATCTTTCCCTCCCTACTAATGTGCCCACCTCACCCCAAATTTTGGTATCATCAGCAAATTTGAACAGGTTGCTTTTCACCCCATCATCCAAATCGCTGATAAAGAAATTGAACAGTGTGGGCCCAAGGACTGAGCCCTGGGGGACCTCGTTGCCCACTTCCCCCCAGGTTGAATATGACCCATCCACCAACCCTCTGAGTACAACCCTTCAGCCAGTTTGCAATCCATCTGACCGTGTAGGCATCGATGCCACAGTCGCCTAGTTTTTTAATGAGGATGGGGTGGGAAACAGTGTCAGAGGCCTTCTCAAGTCCAGAAAGACTACATCCACGGCAACACCTGCATCCATTGCTTTTGTGACCTGATCGTAAAAGGCAATCAGGTTGGTCTGACATGACCTGCCTCTAATGAACCCATGCTGGCTGCCCCTGAGCATCATTCCCGATGCTGGCCCATCACAGATGTGCTCCTTGATGATCTTCTCAAAGCGTTTCCCCAGGATTGAGGTAAGACTGACGGGCCTATAGTTGCCTGGAAATGTGTGGGACATTTGGGCCACATGCTCTTGTGGATGCCCAGTGAAAAACTCTCAGCCGAACCTTTAGCAGGGAGGGCAGAGCACGGAGTCTCAATAAGGCTGTGCAGATGGAAGTAGCAGCAAACGACAGTGAAGAAGGGAAAAGAACAACTTCCCCCCTGAACATTATATACTTTTACCAACACTGTTTCAGGAAGTATATGATGTGATATAATGTACTTAGGATACAGCTCTTTCTTTCCATGGTTAGGTCTATAATCCATACTGAAGAGAGACCACTGGCAGTGTCCAGTAGACTGATCTCCTCACCCTGATATGCCAACACAGCAACACCTGGCAGTGATTTTGTACTGTAGGAAATGACTATTTCCCCATCGTTTTTAGTTCAAATGTCAGCTTAGGACAGTAGCAGATGAAAGCTATTGTCAGTAGCTGGCTTTGTCCTGTGATATGGGTAAAATGTGTTTGTGCCCTCGTCTACTTCCTAACAGAAAAATATCTACCTCTCTGGACCACTGTGAGCTGTAGAAATGTTGATCGGCTTAGTGGTAGTTTGCAGTCATATCTTCAATTTAAGTGGCACATCTGCAGGGCGTGGCCACAATTTAACGGAACAAGAGCTGGGTTATGCAGATCAGAGATAATCCTGCACTGGAGTGGCATTACTTTAAGCAGCATAATGAGTACTTTCAGTCACTTAAATGTGTTAACATGTGGATAATCTAGGGGTTAAGAGATGCCCAAAATTAATGTGTAACAAGGCCCACCCAAACCATCGGTTTGCCTCCTTCTTTGGTCGATGGATTCGCCAGTGGGTGTCTGTTGGAATAGGGAATCCATTACCTTCTCGGGTGTCCCTGCCAGTTCCTTGCTCATTGGCATGGTGATGCCGGCACTCTCTCTTTTGTGGATAACCTATGGACTTCCTTTTCCGGGACCTTCTGGTCCCCCACATTGGGATCCTCTTAAATAAGAGTCGGCACATCTGGCTGATGGGGAGCAAACCTCCTTTACCCTCATTAAGCAGGACCAATTTGCATCTGGTTTAGTCTGGTCTAGCATCTCATGGGTGTACCTCCTGTCTGCTCTATACCTTGAACACAGCACATTACAACTTCAAAAATACCACCATGGGAGCCAAGCAAGAAATCCAGAAAGGCTGTAACACTCATTCAGAACAGGGTGAAATGCAATGGAGAGCTGCAGGTTTTCTAATAGTGTCAATCAAAAGCCAAGAAGCCAATAGCTTCATGAAGAAAGATGTGGGACTGGCATTGAGCTTCCAGTAGATGTCATAATTGGTATGGGATTTGGCCTGCTTTTCCTACTACCAAAGTGCTGGAGTAGCGCTAGATGAATGTTACTTTAAGTCTCTGGCTCAATTCTGGCCATGCTTCTTTAGTGCCATATAAGAAGGAGGACAAGGAGAGACTTGCAAAGTCAGCAAAGAAGTCAGAGTTAACAAGGGAAAGGTGCTGTGGATGGTTTCCAACAGAAGTTTGCTGCT